GAGAAAAAAACTTCGAAGACATGAGCGGCTGAATCCACTGACATGTTTATTTGATATTTCACCTTACCGATCTAGTGGAGGTGGAGATATTGGTGTTCTGTCTATGTACAATGAATCCGTTTTCTGAGGAGTAGGCGAAGGTGATCGTCGTCGTCGTCGCCATGCATTCAGTGGATCATCCTAAAAAAAACCTAGGTAGGTTCCAAAGTACTTTGTGATACTTTGAAAACATATTCACATAACTACTTTGGGCTCATATAGCCCTCATGGTAGAGATTCCGCAGTGACTAGTACAGACTTCACGGTTTATGAATCAGGTCCTACCCTTACGCGGTCGGCTGCTTGGTATTAGGACAAAGGGCTAGTGGTTAGGTTTCTTACGGGGTTTGGACCCAGGTTAACGTTCAGCACAGGAATTGTGACGATATAAATCAAATCCCCCTGGCTCGTATCGTTCTCCCTTCAGCGATTTTTTTCCTCTCCGCAACCTCCAGCATCTCTTCGGCTGATGTCAGACTTTGCGAATCGAGTGATTCGCTACTAGCGATTGCTAGCGTCCGCGGTCGCGTCGCGTACAGCCAATGGCTCGATTCGCTGTACGCGACGCGACCGCAGACGCTAGCGAATCGCTCGATTCGCAAAGTCTGACATCGGCCTTAGTTCGCTTTCTTCCCCTAAAATCCTCCTCCGTCTAAATAAAAGAGACCTCCGTTTTTAGGCAGGTCTTCATAGTTTTTTTCTTCTCTTCATAATTATCGGTTCATTTCGCACTGCTACCTTCAATTCGAGAGGAATAACCATCAGCCTGATGCGGCCTATTTTTTCATATTTTCTCGAACTTACATCAAGTTCAGACCATAACTTTGCCAGCGCCGGTGGTACACTGACATAGATGAATGAAGGAATTACAACAAAGAAGTAGTATCGAATATAGAGTGGCGGATTCCGCCCGTATTGCCTGCGACCTGAAAACAAGCGAGTGAAGACATGCCACCGATGGAGGAGAATATTAGACGTACTTTGGACGGAGAGGACGACGCTGGTGAGGAAGGTGCCAATACTGACGATAATTATGATTGAGAGGTAAAACCACGCTGAAAATGTCTGCACAGTCAAAACTAGATGAAATGTTGCGAGGCTTTGAGGAGCGTTGCAAAGCACATGAGGTTGTCTGTGATTGGTTGTTGCAGGAAGCCAGCCAATCATAGTCAATCAACACATATTGGTTAGCCTCACTCCAATAACAATGCAAACAAATACAATTTCAGATGTAACCATGGGCAGGAGGAAAAGCTC